ACAGTACCAGTTAGTATTATTTTACTACTTGTTCTTTTACTAGTTTACTATAGGTGTAAAACCTGTAGAGAGGCAATATATTCTTCTCCTCATCCAGAGGAAAGGCAAACTAAAGAAAAGATTCTTAGTTACAGCTAGTTTTAAGATGAATACGCTATACCTGCAATAATTGGAACTTTTGTATGGCAACCATTAGGCAGTCAAAAACATAATTGAATAACTCAACAGGCGAGGACGATAACGCCTTCAAATACTAAAATTGAAATCACTTTGGAAGTATGTTTAATTTAGAAAAGCTGTTAAGCAGCCATATATCCTGACACCCAGGCATAATATAACAAGGAACGCATTTATAGAGATTGACAGTATGGTCAAAAGGTTTTATCTATTATTTATGTGAACATCAAAACAAGTGCTTATCCTTAAAGGGTACGTTCACCTTTTTTATAAAAAAGTAATAAATGCACACCTTTTTGCAGGTAAAAAAATGTGCATTTATCTATTTATTTTACTAGGAGCTTTCAAAGCATCACAGCCATGATTAGCAGATCGTGGGTGCAATGCAGGACTCTTGCAGACTGTCAGTGTATCTGTCTGCTTGTACATCATACAGGCAGGCAGTTACACACTGACAAGAAACATCAATGAAATACCTATAGCCCTCAACAGTGCCCTAGTAGTTCATTGAGAACAAACAGCCGAAAGCCACAAAGGCTGTCATTATTTGTAGTTCTCTCATTCACCAAACTTTTTTTTTAAATTGTGACAGTGAGTGCGAGGAGAAGATCCATGTCTCGCTGTCACAAGGGAGATTGGAAGGGGGACTGCTGCAACGGAAACATGTTACATGTTACATCCTGAATACAGGTGTAACATGTAACATGTTACAAAGGTGAATGTATCCTTTAAAAAGGAATGATGTAGCTGAACTGGTGCAAGAACTTTGTCTAGGCGTTTAATACAAAGGTGAGATAATTAACTTGTATTTAAAGATAAATCCCAGATTGATATAAAATGTTTTTTTTTTAATAATAATTTATTGTATTTTTAAATTTAGCTGATATAAATACTTGAGTTTAACTTGATTTCAGCCTCTTGTAATCCCCTGTAATGCAGCACTCAGACTGGTAGAGGGAAGGGCATCACTTGGGACCAATCAGGTGTCCTCCATTCACACATGCTAATAAAACACTGGATGGAAGAGAGATTGCCAGAGATTATCTCACCCCTCTGTCACTGCACCTTCAGTCACAGGCTTGGGGCTATCAGATATTGTGGCTGTGCTGCCTAATTGCAAAAGGGAACAGTCAGGGCACCAAGCACACTGTGCAGTCTGATGGGGCTGTCTAAATCTCAAGACTGAATAGACAGAAATGTAAATCCTTTTGCATGGAAAGTAGCTCCTACATATATTACCATGTAGTAGCTCCTAAATATGTACACATACAGTACATACTGTGTGTGTGTGTATATACAGTGTATATATATATATATATATATATATATATATATACAGACAGGTCTAGACAGCACACACTTGGCATATTACTTTATCATTCCGGTGCAGAGAAGACAATGGCGATTAGCCACACTCCAATTTATAGAAAAATGAAAAAAAAAAAAAAGTCCAATCTGCAGCACCTTACATATCTTTTAGGAGGGTTAAAAACTTTTAAAAAAACATCAAAGTAACAATGTTTGGATCTGTTAGGATCCTTCATCAGGCATGACAAACAATAAAATTAAATTCTAATCACATTCATAATGTAATTAATTTTGCTATATAATAAAGGTGATTAGGATTACATTTTCATGTTTGCGTTACCTGATGAAGGATCCTCACAGATCCGAAATGTTGCTGTTTTGATGGGGTTTTTTTTTAGTTTTTTTTTAACTCCCCTAATAAATATACAAAGTGCTGTAGATTGGACCTTTTCTTTTGTTTTTCTATACATTAGACTGTGGCTGATCTCCACTGACTGCTCTGCACCTGAAGGATCAAGTGACAGGCTGGATATATGATGTCATGACTTGTCTGTGTATCTATCTATCTATCTATCTATCTATCTATCTATCTATCTATCTATCTATCTATCTATCTATCTATCTATCTATCTATCTATCTATTAGTTTAGAAATACATTATGATATGCTATAGATTTGTTTTGGTGCTGAGCATACTATAACCTCCTGTGGTCGGCCAGCCACTGTAGGCAAAGCGACGTACAGGTACGTTGCTGCCTACTCCCGGGTTTTGGGAGCGGACACCTCTGCACCACCCCCCCTCCATCCTACATGTGTAGCCTGTAGTCCTCTGTATATGTATGTGCTGAAAAAATTTGGTTCAATGGTTTGAAGAGGGGTGGTAGTTTCCTGGGTGAAAATATTTATTACATTTTCCTTAAGAAACAAACTATTTCTGTGATACAATGGCTTTGTTTATAGCTAACATCTCAGATCATGGTAGAGTAGGATTTGAAATATACAGTAGATAAAGTGTGCTATAGTGCTTGTCACTGATTTTGTGCTTGGGCAAACTTGGTTACATCTACTAAACAGTTATGTGGCAACCCATCACAAGCACAACTGAGACCTAATGTGGGTCCCTACCCATAATTTAAATATATGGGTGTAGCAATAGGGGTTACAGGGTTCGCAATGGCGACCTTGCCCATGCTCCAGGGGGCCTGTGCAGCCCCCTGTCACACCTGGATAGGAGGAGCAGTTGGAGCAACATTTAATAAACTTGATCAGCTGTATTTTTCTGCAGGAGCTGAAAGCCTGCTTCTTCTCCTCCCCCTGCCACCATGCCGGTGGCAGGGGGAGGAGGAGAAGCTGCAACAGAAAAATACAGCTGTATGGGTCTAGTAAATGCTGAAAATGCTGCCCCCTCCGTCCCTCCTGTTCTTGTTCCTCTTGCTGCCTGTGTCACCCTCCCCCCCCCCGTGTGCTCTCCTAACCCCCCCTTCCCTCTTCCCCGCAGTGCTGCCCACTCTCCTCCTCACCTATCCCACCAGCAACTGTCTTAGTCCATAGGGTTTAATATTGAGTTGGCCCACCCTTTGCAGCTAAAACAGCTTCAACTGTTCTGGGAAGGCTGTCCAGGTTTAGGAGTGTGTCTATGGGAATGTTTGACCATTCTTCCAGAAGCACATTTGTGAGGTCAGGCACTGATGAAGGCCTGTCTCGCAGTTTCTGCTCCAATTCATCCCAAAGGTGTTCTATTGGGTTGAGGTCAGGACTCTGTGTAGGTCAGTCAAGTTCTTCCACCCCAAACTGTCTCATCTATGTCTTTATAGACCTTGCTTTGTGCACTGATGCACAGTCATGTTAGAACAGGAAGAGGCCATCCCCAAACTGTTCCCACAAAATTGGGAACATGAAATTGTCCAAAATGTCTTGGAATGCTGACGCTTCACTGAGACTGGAACTCCACTGGAGTTCCCTTCACTGGAACTAAGGGGCCAAGCCCAACCCTTGAAAAACAACCCACACCATAATCCCCTCTCCACCAAACTTTACATTTGGCAGAATGCAGACAGGCAAGTACTGTTCTCCTGGCAACCACCAAACCCCGACACATCCATTGGATTGCCAGACACAGAAGCGTGATTTGTGACTCCAGAGAATACTGTTCTAGAATCCAGTGCAGTCCACTACTGCTTCTGACGGTTTGCATTGCACTTGGTGATCTAAGGCTTGGAAGCAGCTGCTCGGCAATGGAAACCCATTCCATGAAGCTCTCTACGCAGTATTGTTATGCTAATCTGAAGGCCACCTGAAGTTTGGAGGTCTTTAGCTACTGACTGTGCAGACAATTGGCGACTTCTGAGCACTGTGCGCTTCAGAATGCGCTAACTCTGCTCTGTTATTTTACGTGGCCTACCACTTCATGGCTGAGTTGCTGTTGTTCCCAGTTGCTTCCACTTTGTTGTTATACCACTAACAGTTGACTGTGGAATATTTAGTAGCAAGGAAATTTCACGGATGGACTTATTGCATAGGTGGTAACCTAGCATGGTACCACGCTTGAATTCACTGAGCTCCTGAGAGCGACCCATTCTTTCACAAATGTTTGCTGAAGCAGTCTGCATGCCTAGCTGCTTGATTTTATACACCTGTGGCTATGGAGGTGATTGGAACACCTGAATCCAATGATTTGGAGGGCGGGCCCAATACTTTTGGCAATATAGTGTATTTCTCTGAGGCTGCAGAGAAAGGGACTGATGAATCTATGTCCTCAGTCCCTTTCTCTGTCTCAAAAGAGAGACATCAGGGGTCTGTTTAGATTCCTGATATTTCATCAAATCCCCCCACGAGGATCCTAAAACAGTTTTAAAAAATAATATTGTAAAAAATAATGAAAAAAAATACAATTGTAAAATAAACAAATAAATATACCTCCTTCCTGCCCAGGCCAATTTCCAGCTTTCAGCGCTGTCACACTTTGAAAGACAATTGCGCGCTCATGCAACACTGTACCCATATGAAATTTTTATCATTTTTTTGTGACAGATAGAGCTTTATTTTGGTGGTATTTAATCACCTCTGGGTTTTTTATTTTTTCTTAAACAAACCAAAAACCACAAAAAATTGTGGGGAAAAAAAGTTTTTACTTAGTTTTTGTTATAAAATTTTGTAAATAAGTGATTTTTCTCCTTCACTGATGTGCGCTAATGAGGCTGCAGTGATGGTCATTGATAGGCTGCACTGATGGACACTGATAGGTGGCACTGATGGGCACTGTTGAGTAGGCACTGGTAGGTGGCACTGATGGGCATTGATGGGCATCACTGATGGGCACTGAAAGGCAGCACTGATATATGGCACTGATAGGCGGCACTGATAGACGGCACTGACTGGCACTGATAGGCGGCACTAACTGGCACTGTTAGGTGGTACTGACTGGCACTGTTAGGCGGCACTGTTAGGCGGCACTGATGGGCACTGATAGGCAGCACTGATGGGCACTGATATGCGGCACTGATGCACACTGATAGGCGGAACTGACTGGCACTAATAGGTGGCACTGATTGGCAGCACTGATAGGTGGCACTGATTGGCATTGATAGGTGGCACTGACTGGAACTGCTGGGTGACACTGAAAGGCAGCTCAGATGGTCACTGATATGTGGCATTGATGTGCATTGGTAGGCACTGATATGTGGCATTGATGTGGCACTGATGGGCACTGACAGGTGGCACTGCTGGGGCTACACTGATCATCAGGGCACACTGATCATCAGTGCCCTGATGATAGGTGCACATGTCCCCTCCGAGGAATGCCGATTACCGGCTCTCCTCTCGAGCTGTCAGCGTTACAGCTTGTGAGGAGAAAAATGCCGATAACCGGCATTTTCCTGTTTACAGGCGATCAGCTGTGATTGGACGCAGCTGATCACATGACCGAGCCGACATCTACGGCTCTTTCCATGGATCAGTGATCCGCTGTGTCCGAGGGACACAGTGCACTGCTGATCGCTGCGCTGCGTGCTCCCGGAGCCGCACAATTGCGCCGTGAGAATGGGAGGACGTCATATGATGTCCTACCAGAACAAGAGAATCAACTTGCATCCGTCATTGGACTATATGTCGGGCGGGAGGCGGTTAAATAAAATGCTACTGACACCTTCACTTCTCTCTACTGATACCAACCTCTGCTCAACTGACAAAGTCCACAGCCCTACTGACATCGTCAACTGCTCTACTGACTGACACCAACCATTGCCCTACTGACACCAACTTCTGCCGTACTGACACCAACTTCTGCCCTTCTGACACATCCACTGCTCTACTAACACCGTCCCTTGCACTACTGATACCGCCCACTGCCCTACTGATACCATCCTCTGTCCTACTGATACCAGCCTCTGCCCTACTGACACATTCACTTATCTACTGACACCATCGACTGCCCTAATGACATTTTCCACTGCTCTACTGACACTGTCCACTGCCCTACTGACATTTTCCTCTGCCCTACTGAAACCAATGTCTGCCCTATTGATAATGTCCACTGCCCTACTGACATTGTCTACACACTGTCCACTGCCCTACTGACACTGTCCACACACCCTCAACTGCCCTACTGACACTGTCCACACACCCTCAACTGCCCTACTGACACTGTCAACACACTGTTGACTGCCGTACTGACACAGTTCACACACCGTCCAGGTAGGCTAAGTTTATATTTTTATGTGGCATTTCTTTTATGACATTTTTCTAAGTGCTCCTTATTATTTAGTTAGGCCTTGCTAGTATTTTCTTAAAAGGGCTCCAGGCCCCAGTGATCTTTGATCTCTTTCATGTTGCTTAGGTAGATCTCCACCTCTCAAATGAGGTGTCATTCCCCTGTGTCACTGGGGAAAAGCACTTGCCGCGCAAGGCCCACCCAGACCTGTCCCAGGTACTCTGCGTTTCTGGTTTCACTTACACAGGAAGATGGGGCAAGTATGCAGTGGAAGTGGCGGGTTCTGGCGGGGCCCCAAGTTAACTTTTGCATTGAAGCCCACAAGCTTCAAGCTACTCCTCTGGCTTAACTAACGTTGACCTGACTTATTATGAAAATTACATTGTAAAAATCTAAGTTGAGTAAAGGAGAATAATTTTATTGGTTGAAGACATTGTGTGTGCTGCCCTAGCCTACATTATAAATGCACTTTGGAGCTGTATTGAGGACTGACAGAAAAGATGCGCTTCTGTTTTCTACTTGTAAAATTGCCAGCCTGGAATGTACAACTGAGAATCCAAATGAAGAGAGTAAGGAAGACCTTTCAGCTTTTAAGAAAAGCTGGGCACCTGGGTGAATCGTGTTTAGTCTGGATCCAACTATCAGAGATAACTGCACCTAGCTATTTTGTGATGCAGAAAATATAAGAACTCTACAGATCATCTTTCCATACATGTTGTTGTAATTTACAGACTTATTTACCAATTTAAAACAGAAAGAGCTGAAACAATGGAAATTAACTGTCAGGACCTGAGGAACTGAATCACCTGCTGGTGGCTCTGCAGTTCCCAGAGTTGAGGAGCAAAGTTTTAGTGGCCATCAGCAGATATATCCTAGCGGTCAGACAATCCCAGTAATTAGGCTCCACCTAACTGCTGGCTGCCGGGAAGGTATATAACCCGTCCCTTAAATTACATAATTGCTTCAGTGTTTTGCCTTTTAGCCATATATACTGTATAGCTTGCTGATCCCTGCCTTATCCCATACCTTGTATGCATTGCCCTGTATGCAGTCCCAGTCCTGGTCATGCCCTGTTTTTGTCAGTTTCCCTTCATTTGTATATAGTGTATATAGTTTTAGTAGTTGGTTTAGTTTTGATTCACTGTCACATTTATTTTTCGCTTTTGCTTTGCTTATGGACTGTTGGTGTTGGATTGGTGTTGTGTGCATTGATGAACAAACTTCTCTTTTCTTACATGTATGGGTTCCCATCAGAGGTAATATTTTCATGATATATGAAAATGTGTTGATTTAATATGACTTCTGTATATATACACACATCTTTTTGTGTTTATGTACTTGTTTGTTTTCCTTGGCAGTAAACGCTTCATACTAACATTTTCTTCATTTTAGTCTCAATGGGACCATTTCTCGTTAGGTAAAGAAGAATTTATAGTTTTTAAAATGCTTAACATTTTTTTATGAGAAAGCCTTGCAGTTTATATTCTTTCACTTTCATCACATTTTGGCAGTATCAACCTGCAAATGCCAGTGGATTATCTTTATTTGCTTGTTTAGTATTTCAGAACTGTCTTATCTAGTTTATGTGTTTGTAATGGCATTGTGTTACTATAGAAACAGATTGTCCTGTGGGATTTATATTATTATATGCATTTTTTCACAGTTGGTACTAGTAAAAACATGGCAAACAAAATTAATTCCAAGGGGCCAGTCTATTACTAGCACTGTTATTATGTACAATTGCTGCAATTTTACATCTCAAGTACAGTTTCAATATTACAGGCTTCACGTTTTTAGTAACTTAAAGCTTACCGTAATACATTGTGTGTGTGTTTTTACATTAAAACAATGCAGTGCTTTCATCATTTGCTACCTTTTTATTTTGCCATAAAGAGGATTTAGCAATTTCCCTTGTTATGGAAAAAGGGGGCGCATCTTCCCACAGATCTAAATGCCTGCAAACTCCCATGCAGCATATACAAGAGAGGGTAATTCTTCATTCTTTGTTGGTTGCAATTGAGTGCAGGAACACATTTCTTTGTATGTGCGTCTGCTTTCACATAGCCTTGGATGTCACGCCATGTTTTATGGTGACTGCATGATATATGGCTACATGCTCTGTTCTGGACACCAGTCTTTAAAAACGGACTCACTCAACTTTTTCTAGCTACTCTTGTACGCAAGAAATAAAGTGCATGCAGACGTTTGTTCCATATTTCTAGGTCGTCTAAGTGCTGGGCTAGCATGGTCAGCATTGTTTCTCACCACAAACACTTGTCAACCACACAGCTAAAAAGGAGAGATTGACATTTTTATTGTCAATCATTGCTATTGTCACGATAGTTGATAAAGTTTAGAATTCATTTTACAAGCTCAGGTTATAACTGGAACTCCAGGAAGACAGCTAGTTGAATGACCCTTACCTTTTTTATTACAGAAAACCCTACAACTTTGATAGCCTGCATGTGGCTACTGAGAGATGACAACAGTCATTGACTTCTGTGTTTAATAAAGAGAGTTAAAGGGTCCAGTAAAGTGGTTCCTTTCATATAAGATATCTTTGGTAGAGCCCTCTGCTATGAGAATTTTTTTAAACTCTGATTACATACATGTAACAGTTTTGATACTCCTATTTTTCTAGGCATATTCAATAGGTGGCATATCCAGGTTAATGACCTACTGCTATATAGCATGCCCACCAACCCAACTTGCTGATTGTACAAAAATTCAGCACGATAAGGCTATAAATTTAAGCTCGCTCTGCCAGCAAGCTCTTAAATGTTAGGATTACCATACACAGGTGCCAGCTTCAGCAAACGCAGAATGTATGTAAGCGAGTTCAAAAAAATAAAACAGCTGACATCTGACTTCACTTTGATATTGGCTTTGACAACATTTGAGATCAATTTACTATGCATTCACATTGCCTTGTATAGACAAATATACAAGGAAATTACCTGGGACATTATTATAGGGCTGGAGTCATAGAGTTACTTCTCTGCACAACAGGAATAGGTATAGATGGTATTTAGGGTGGTGGCGGCCAACCACTTTGGATTTTGGGAAAGTGGGGGATTACATGTGGTGGCCAATGCCACCAAAGTCCATACATTATATTTTGTATTCCAAGAAATCACAAAGTATATTATTTTATTTCTGTTATTCATTGACTTGCTTTAAGACAGTTTAACCACTGAGGATTTACCCCCCTTCCTGACCAGGCCATTTTTTTTCATTGCGGCGCTGCATTACTTTAACTGACAAGATCGCGGTCATGAAATTTACGTCCTTTTTTTTTCACGCGAACAGAGCTTTCACTGGTATTTGATCACCTGTGTGGTTTTTATTTTTGCTCCATAAAAAAAAAGACCAACCATTTTGAGAAAAAAAACAATATTTTTTACTTTTTGCTATTAAAGATGTCCAGTAAAAAAAATTTAAAAATCAAATTTATTCATGAATTTAGGCCAAAATGTATTCTGCTACATGTCTTTACTAAAAAAAAAAATCTCAATTCGTGTAAATGAATTGGTTTATGTGAAATTTTATAACGTTTAGAAATGGCGGTATATAAACTGGGATTTTTTGTTAAATCTTTACTAGTAATGACAGCAATCAGCGACTTATAGTTTGCAGTGAGCATTCTGACATTGGGGGGAACTAACTTGGTGTCACTGACATCCCCAGTGACACCAATACAGTGATCAGTTAATAAAAAGCACTGACGCTGTACTAATGGCACTGGGCAGGAAAAACATGTTGGGCGATCAAAGGGTTAATTGTGTGCTGTTTTACTGTATGCTGTGTTAGTGCTTTCAATGTAAGCATTTCTATGCAGAGCCATGTAAAGCAGTGTGCAGGAACTGGCAGCCGAGAGAACTGTATTGTTTACTTACAGTTCTCTCCCTCCGTCGATAATGCTCCACGATCACCGGTTGTCGGCGAGTAATCACAGGCTGGGACCCGGTGATTGACAGCAGAGGCTGCGAATAGCGCCGCAGGTATGGCTCGCACGCACCCCCTACCTGGAAATGCAAAATTGTGTATATATACGTGATTTTGCACACCCCTGCCTCCCTGTACCAGTATATCTGCTATAGGGTGGCGGGAAAACGGTTAATTGAAAATAGCTGAACACCTAAACTAGCACTTGGGTGCCTCTAATGTTCCATGCACACTGGGCT